CTCATTACAGTTTTAGTTAGTTTTCCTTTTTTTGTTTTTATTTTTATTTCCGTTAACGAAAATGTTTTTTCACTTCTAGTTTTCGTTATTTCGGTAGTTTTCGTTAACGATAATAACCTTGCTTGTGACTGCAAAATTGTGCCTGCATGAGTGACAGTTTCTTGCAGAATGTGTGCCTGATGTTCCAGACCAAAAGCGAGCGTCCGGCAGCGACAGGAAGACACCTGGCATGGAGACGAGGCGATGTTGTTTTTTCAAACTGTGTTAAAAGTCATTGTGGTTTTGAAACTTGTGCATGTGATGACGCATGAGGGGGCGTTATAAATTTCCCTGATGATATAAAACAACTGATTGTGTATTGTTCGAGAGACATCGATGCTGCGTACAGTGTTCATCTCTCCACGCGTGTGTTCATTAAAATCATCGTTTGACTTAACCCGGCCGGACCAGTGTTGTTATTTTGGATTTCCTCCTATATCCCTCCTCAATATTTGAACCCTTAACAGTCTCCTTGCTGTCTCATTGAACCAATTACTGTAAGATGAAAACAAACTTACCGCCAGAGACTCGAGAGCTGACTGGTTGGAGAAGATCTTAAACCTGAAAGGTGAAAAAAAAGTCGATAAATAATCAATAATCAAGTTGTGCTATAAAATGGTGGATCATTACGAAGCCAGTTTTAACCAACATGGCGATGGTGTTGGTGATGAGTTCGTTCTGTTGGAGAACCGGTGTGAGAGCATAATGTGGTGGGTTAGAGTTTTTCATTCCTGTAGAAGGTGAGCGATGACAGGTGTAGTCCGTGGTGTCAGGGGTGTGTGTGGATGAGAGGAAGAGAGGACCCAAACGCAGGAATAGCAGGTAGGTGAAGATTGGTGATTTATTGTAGACAATGGAGAAATGAACAGACCATGAGATGGCTGACTGCCTGGACGACTGAAAGACTGGCTGAATGGCTGACTGAGCATAGGGCACACACAGGAACGACAACATCAATGACAAGACAATGACCAGGTTGAAACTGAGGGCTTAAATACACCGGCTCAATAGTGACTGATTGGAGACTGGTGAGTGAACAGCTGAACACAGAGTCCAGAATGAATCAGTCCTGGTGGGTGGCCGTGTGGCCAGCGGTGGCATTGGAGTCGATCTTGTGGGCGGCCACGTGGCCAGCAGTGACGCTGGAGTCGATCTGGCGGAAGGCGGCGGTGGCCACTCAGCAAGTCCAGAGGCTGGCTGCGAGGAAGACAGCGGTGGCCACTCCGCAGGTGCGGAGGCTGGCCGCGAAGAAGACGGCGGCCTGGTGGCCGGTAATGGCGAGGAAGGTCAGTCAGCGGCCTGGAAGGTGGCCACCGATGCCAAACCCAATGTGGACAAGGCGGTGGCAATCGCTTGATCAGGCGGTGTGGAAACCTCTGGCTGAGGAGAGAGAGAGAGCTCACAGCTGGCTCTGGGTGCTGTGACTGCAGATTGGGGAACAGAGCTAAAAACGGACTGGGAGACTGACTTGGAAGCTGAACAGCAGGAGACTGGACTGCAGACTGGAGGACAGGAGACTGAGCTACAGGTGACTGAACTGAGGATGGGGACAGTGCTGCAGCCTGAGACAATAAACCGGGAACATGAGATGGAAACAGATCTGCTAATTTACTAAGGGAGTAAGCTAGGGCCTGAAAACCTGGATGAGGATGTGGATGAGGTGGTGAACGGGCAGGTCAACATGCTAGCTCTTCCAATCCATCCTCCAGAGCGCGAGGGCAATGCCTGGAGAGCCTCAGCTGAATCTCAAGGGACGTCAGGTTAGATCCTGGTCTCCGAGGGCTGCCCAGAGCCAGGCGAAACCCCTCGAAGATGTGCTGTCTTTCAATTCAATTCAATTTTATTTATATAGCACCAAATTACAACAAAAGTCACCTCAAGGTGCTTCATAGGTACAGAGAAAAACCCAACAATCATATGACCCCCTATGAGCAAGCACTTTGGCGACAGTGGGAAGGAAAAACTCCCTTTTAACAGGAAGAAACCTCCAGCA